TTCTGATTCTAGATGCCACATCATTGGTGACCCAACTCCTCTACATCAACACTAAATAATGATTTTGAAATCACCAAAGACTGTAGTTGCCATGTGACCACTTATAGAAAAGAAGCTATACTCAGTTTGAAATGACTATACAATTCTCATTACGTATGCTTTTTTCTTCCTGCCATTTTTTTGGAAGGTGAGAGAAAAGCTTGTTCATTGCTCTCTCTCTATTTTTTTTTAAATCAAAACTTTTCTCTTAGTATAAACTTTCCCACTGAGACCCACCCAATTTAGAAGTTATTGGACAGAGTCAACACCTGATTAGAAGATTATAAAACTTTGCTTTGGTACATTGGGGGCACCTGGGATTTTGTTTTGTTCTTCCCTCTATTTATTATAACCATAAATAAAATGCTTCACTAAAGCAATTGCAGATAATTACAAGACAAGCAGTTCTATTTCAGTGGTATTAATTTCACACTTTTTAGAATTAAACAATTGTCTTGACTTCGAACATACATATAAATATGTGTGTATATATGTATGTATATGTATATATGTGTGCATATGTGTATGTATGTATGTGAATGTATGCCAGGGAAACAATATTTATGGAAAACTGGTTGAGGGCAAATTATAATAGGTTTTGTTTAGAACTGAAGCTCTTAGAACAGAAGTTACAAACAAAAGTCACAAAACCTGATTTTATTTGTCCTGCATGGTGCTTTATAACCATGGTTCTTGTTATTATTATTACTTAACCTTTAGCAATCAGGAGATTTCACATGGAAATTCAGATTTCCACCTTCTCCCAAAAAATCAGGAAACACTATAAGAAATTATATGCAGTTCAAACATTGGTGACTCCATGATTTTAAACTGCAAATGGCAACAATTTAAAGGCTTCCATCCCTTTGTTTTGATGTTTCTCTTCCATATCAAATGGCGTAAGGTGCAAGCACTCAAATGCATACCCAGAATGCTCCCTGGTTTAATGGGGTATTACATGCAATCTTATTCTACCTGTAATTTTTTTCTCCCAATTTCTATGTTCTATCAATTTTTCCTTCATAAAGTTTTTCACATTTGGGCTTATCTTCTTCCTCTCCTTGTTATGACTTTTATCCAGGTCATGTTTTTCTCCCATCAGGGCTACTGAATGTGTTGCTGTCTTAGCCATCACCATCCTTCTTGCCTTAACCTTTCCTCTGCCTGTCCCATCCCACTCTGCAAACTAGTTATATATTTATATACTTCAACATATTCAAATCATGCCTTAACATATTAGTTCCTGCTCTCAGATTGCAGTGACCATCTGGAACCCATGTCCAACTATTTGACCTGCAGTCAGAATTCAGTCTGTTTGTCCCCTCTCATTTTATGTTAATCCATACACAAATACCTAATTAATATGCCCAGGTCCATAGCACCAAAGCAAACATCTTCCAATCTCTGATGACTTTACTCCAAGCATTATCTTTTCCTCTCCACCTGTGCAAGTAGATCATGACTACTTTCAAGACTAGCCTCTCTAGACCACCGTGGTCCATAACGGCACAATACAGCTCATCTTGCCTGGTGCATATTTCAAAATCATATTTTATTTCTCTGATCATCTTAAAACTGGATTTCTCCAAGTATGGTCCTTGGACCTCTTACTTCAGAATCACCCGTTGTGCTCTTAAACATTTATTCCTGAGCTCCACCTATAGACTCATGAATCCCTTAAGTTGGTACCTAGAAATCTGATAAATTTAAAATGAGAAGTCTAGAATTTAAAGGCAACATGAAAATAGTGGTACAAGCCTGCCTGATGGTTTGACAGAAAGTAAAATAGGATTCAATTAAATTTACAAGTGTATTTTTAGGTCTGCCAGTGTCTTTCTCAAACATTATTTACCATAATTATTGATAACAGCTCTGGGTGTGGCTTTAACCAGCTCTTTGCCACCTATGCTGAGGCCATCAGGCCCATGGTCTATTGGAGAAAAAGTGGAAGGTATTTAAGAGCCTCACATTTCAGGCAAAAGCAAAATGATTAAATAATAAGCTTCTTGAGTGCAAAATTGTGTTTCTTTTCTTTTTTTTTTAAATTGTTCTTTGCTCCTCTCATGCCTTATATCCAGTACACCATAATTAATAAGTGTTGAATTGCATCGGGTAAATTGAATGAATGTGTGAAGATGAAAATTAAAAATGGACATCAGTACTCAGGTTTTAGTAATGGTGAAAACTCATTGGGTGCACACTCACTCTGAGGTCAGGCGCTGCATTCAGTGCTTCATGTAGATTATCCAAGTGAGCTCTTGCTTCAATCTTAATAAGGTATTGCTATGATCTACATTTTAACAACAGAGCGTATTCAGCTAGAATTGCACAAGGGGCAAAATACACTGTGATATGAGAAGCAATCACTTTCGTCACTTATGAAAAATCTTTTGAATGACTGTAAACCATCTATTTCATTTTGTTAAAGAGGGGGTTGATACATTTGAAATACTGATTAATAACCATTAGAGAAGTCACCGTGACAAAGCGGTTTGAGGTACAGAACAGAATTTGGAACAGAAAGACCTGTGTTCAAGATTCAATTTGCCACTTAACAGCTCTGCAAATCTGAGCAAAATCCAAAGTCTCTCTGAAACTCAGTCCTTTATAAAATCAGAACAATATTACTGCATATCAAGTTGGCATGAAGATATTTATGTGAAATATTATGAAAATATAGAGTGCTATTACTATTAATGATTGCCGAAGCAGGATCTCAAAAACTATAACTACATTATTTTGAATCATGTTTTAAAGAGGGGGGAAAAACACAGAAATAATGAAATCTCATCTCCATAATCACATAAAGCAGGTATTACAGTCCCGGAATAAGGACTCTGAGGCTTAAGGAGGTTAAGTAACATATCATAGTCACAGCACACCTAGTAAACAGCTGAGGTGAGATTTAACAACCACACCTGCCTAACTGCAAATGCTCTGCTCTTTCCAAAGTGCCAGTTTATCTTTTTCTTTTTTTTTAATAAGCCAACACATATACTTTGTCTTAACATTAAAAAGAGAGAGAGATCTATGTTTGAAAACTCATTCTGATAATTCCAGATAAAGATATTGTTATCTTGAGTCTGGCTCAACTTCCTATTATGAAATATAGTAAACATGATTTGAGTGTAGCTTAAATGATGTATCCAAAAGGGATAAAACAGGTCATCTGGGAAATTGATTTTATAGATTATAAGAATTCAAGTGAACTAAACTGTACTTAATTGTACTTGATGGACACAATTTTTTCAAAAGAAAATTCTTCAGGAAACAATTTCATTATTATTTCTATATGTGACATCTATAGCCTGGTGTAATTAAAGCAAAAATAAATAATATAAACTTCACTTAAGTAGTAGTGAAGAAACCTCTATCTTCATGGATTTGAGGTTCGCAAGGAAAACAAAGGGAAATCTTTGATCCAAGTTCAATTTTTCACTTCCACATATTTTTTAAATGTTCCATTTAAAAATGTTTTAATGAAGAGAAGTTAGAGAATTTGCTCACTCTGTTACTTTTTGAAGGAAATGATTCTGAGAATATTTCATGTCTCCACCAACTTTTATCCTGAAATAGAGTTTCCAGTAGAGATGAACTCCAGCTGTTAATTTTGGTTACTGGGGCATGGGACAGAAGGAATTATATATTTTTTTAAAAAGTAAACATTTTTAAAATGAGGATAGGGTTAAGACAGGATTAAGAATAAGAGTGGACATGAGGGTATGTATGAATGTGAAAGTGTTCATTTAAATACTGTAGATAAATTCTGAGCACAGATCATGCCCTACAAGTAACTTAAACATCTTTTCTTAAAACACTGGTGGTTAAATTCATATGCTGTTGGAGTCACACAGTCTGGGATCAAATCCCACTCTGTCACTTCTTAATTTTGTAATTTTAGGCCATTTACTTAAATTCCTTGTGAATCTATTTTCTTATCTGAAAATTAGGAATATTACTCATTTATATGATTGTTACAATGATTCAGCATAATTATCAATACACATTGTCAATGTGGTTGATGTTATTATTGTTGTTTTGGTGTTGTAGAACTTATTCAATATATATATATGCACATATATATATACACATATGTGTGTGTGTGTGTATGTATATATATATAAGATATAGGATATATATATGTATATACATATATGTGTGTGTGTGTGTGTGTGTGTATGTATATATATCCTATGACCTTAAAAAAGGATATTGAGGAATGGCAACCACTTAAGAGTTGTTTCTTTACAATTGAATAAATTCACAAAATGGTGTAAAATACACAGACACCTATTTAGATAAAATATCAAGTTAGTTTTCTTTAAGAAACGTTAAAGATGTTCCTAAAATGAAAAGGTTATAAAACCAAACTTTCTAGTAAATAATCACAAGTTTATACTTATATTTTCAAAAGCGCACAAATTTGTACTCATCATAAGAGAACATATTGATTTGTGTGTGTATTTCAAGCGACCATCTTACGCACACTGTGCCTGTGGCTGACAGCATTCTCCCCTGGGAAGGTGGCTTCTCTAATTGCAGTGAATGGTGATTCTATTTGTAGACATTACTTCCTACAGCATGCATTCCTTTCTGTGATTATTATTTAAAATATACTTGTCCTCAAATTATTTAGTCTCCTTGGCTAAAGGAGAAAGTTCAACAGCACAACAAGAACCTCACAGATAATGTGTATCTGGGTTGAAAATGCCTATTTTCTTACCAACAAAATAATCTGCGTTTACTGAAACATAGGGAATACAAAAAGTGTTTCAATATAAAGATTCTCAAACTACTACTTAGGCCTAGAAGAAAAAGAAAAAAAAAAAAAAACAACGAAAACAGAAGTACTAATATTATTTGAACTGCCGGGGCATTTGTCCTCTTCTCACACTATCTCTTGCTTACAAACAAAAACAGAATTTTTACATTGACAGAAAATTGACAGCAAGAGGACTTACCTTCTTTCAACCAAGAAATGTTATTTTTATCATTTTCAAAGTGCTCAGCTGTTCTTACTTTTACCTTTTCCGGCTCAGTTTCTGACATCTAAGTGGAAACAGAATTTGTGATATAAAAAATTCATTAAGAACCCAAATTTATAATATTGAGCTTTATATTTAGAGACTACTACTATATCATAGAAAAATGTTTTCTCTATAGTTTTGCAGTTCACAAATGTTGTCTTACATTTTATTCATTTGTAATATATTTTTTAAAAAATTAACATTGAAAACTAAACCTTATATAATTGTTCATTTTGCAGCAGTAAAGTTTCTTATAAAATTTTACAATTTATGAATATAAAAGAATAACAGATTAACAACTAGTCACAGATCTGTAAAAAATAAATATTCAGTTGATGTTTTAATGTTTTTTAATAGTCTATAGAAAAGCATGCTGCAAAGATATAAATAATAATAAAACACAAAAGAACCTTTTCAGTAATTTATTGGTGAGAACCTTTTGGCCTAAGATAGGCCCAGTTGAGCTCTCTGAAGCTGTTGAGGAGACCTATCATGTACCTTCACTGCATTGCATTTGACTTTCATGGCTTGCTCTAATGAGCTAGGATGCTCCATTTGAATCAGCACCTCAATATACTTACCTGTGTGTTCCAAAAGGAGGAGGCCCAAGGCGTGGGACCCGGGAGCAGCGTGGCGATGCGCTGGGCAGCCTTCCTTGTTGTCTCTCGATGTCCAGCATTCCTCTACCCTGCCAGAAGTGAGCAAAGAAGCAAATACACTCCCTCCCTGGGTGGTGCTAGATTTGTATTGCTGCCAAAAGCATCCAACTTGCGGCTGAGAGCCTTTTTTGTTTTTTTTTTTTTAGGTAATATAAAGCCTGTGGTTCAAAACAATAAAAACCTTCTTCAGTCTAGCACTTATTTAAAATGACACTCTGCAAAATCGAGTAAAAATAATGAACTCTTTTCAAACTGACAAAGTTTCTTCAGTCCCTTTCCTTCCACATCCGTCATTCATCACTTAGAGTTAATATAAATGGATGTTGAAAAATACATTGAGAAATATACATAGACTATTTGGGTTAAAATAAAAAGAAAAGAAACATCTAAAGCTATTTCTCTAGAAGTTCATCCTGCAGCTGACATTTTGAAAAGCAAGTTTTTCTAATATTTTATAGGAAACAAGAAAACATATCAAATTCTTTTGAAAGTCTGCAGATGTTCCAGAAAGGATTTGAAATAACATTTCAAAGAGGATTTGTCATTAAATTCTTAGTCAAAGATAATACCATTTTCAACAGAAGGTTAACAAGAAAAAGCATAACCCTTAGCTATGCCTGATGATAAATAGTCCAACATTTCTACATGCTGTCATTTTTTTTCATCATGAAATATAATATTTATTTTTTTGACCCAAAGTGGTTTGCCTTTTTATCTGGACAACTGCCTGTTATCTGATCTTCTTGTATCCATTTCACCTTCTTTCTCAACTTTATTTCTTGTACTTTGCTCCCAGGTTCACTGTCTTTAAAAAGTACCTTGATCAGTGAATTTCTATACTAAGAAAACTTTCAGTTTTTCTTATTATCAATAAGATAAATTTCCGATTCTTAAAACAGCTAAGAGTAGTTGGATTCGATAACATAATTTTCAAATTGTGGCTTAACATCTTAAGATTTCTCCAAGGTGCCTATCCTTTTACTCCAATCAAATTGTAAAGCTGTCACTCAAACTTACCTGCTTCTATTATTAACATTCCAGAAATGTTTCCTCAAAAATCCCATCTCCACCCCAACCTTGAAGCCTTCTGGATATCTGTCATCTGGAAATAATCATTCCTTTCTCTGATCTCATGTGGGACTCTTGGCATGATCCTCTCCAGTTTGGTCTTATGTAAGCCTATCTTATCTGACAAGACTATAAAACCCTTGAGAGCTCAGCCTGTATCTCAGCATTTTATTCACCTTGCTCAGATTAGTAATGTTTAAATAAACAAAACCAGAATATCAAAATCCAATGGTGTCGTACTTTGTCTCAAAGTGATAGGAGACATCTGATTACCTAAAGTTCCTTTAGGAAGTTATACTAGCAAAGAGTCAGTTGTTTTGGACAAAGCTACCTTCCTTTGGAGGGATGGCAGGTGTCCATCAAGAAGATTACCTCACCAGTACTGACCAAGTAATTCCAGATTGACTGGTTTAAATTCCACTCCTGGGAGAGGTTAAAACTGTAATTAAATTATGTTTTAAGTCTTGGTTTGTAGGTGTGAGCTTAACCCCAGTGGCTCCATTTGGGGCCTGTTGTCTCTTTTTTAACAAAGTATATGACATGAATTTCTATATGGTATTTTCTTTCATTTTGAAGAGCATTTTTTTTTAAATAAATTTATTTTTTAAAATTAGTTTCAAGTAAGTATACAGTACATTGGTTAGACATCTATAATGTTCATAAAATGATCCCCACAAATGCTCCCTCCCTCCCCTGGTCCTCCACTTAGCCATCATATAATGCTAACTGCATTCCCTCTGCCATGCTCCCGGTGCCCAAGTTTCAGTTACTAATTTGTACTTCTTTAACCCTTCATCTCATTCTCTCAGCCTCCCAACCCCCCTGTCCATCACCAAATTGTCCACAATATTTGTGAGTCTGTTTTTGATTAGTTTGTTCTTTTTGTTCCTTAGATAGCACATATAGGTGAAATCATATGGTATCTATCTTTCTCTGATTTATTTCATGCAGCATAATAACCTCTAGGTCTATCCATGTCGTTGCAAATAATAGGATTTCATTTTTTTAATGGCTGAATAATATTCCATTTACATATGAACCATAATTTCTTTATCCAATCATCTGTTGATGGGCATTTGGATTGCTTCCATATCTTGGCTATTGTAAATTGTGCTGCTGTGAATATTGGAGTGCATAGATCTTTACGAATTATTGTTTTGGTTTTGTTTGGATAAATGCTCAGAAGTGCAATTGCTGGGTCAAAAGGTATGTCCATTTTTATTTTTTTGAAGAACCCCCATACTGTTTTCCATAGCGGCTGTACCAATTTGCAATCCCACCAATAATATATGAGGTTCCCTTTTCTCTGCATCCTCACCAACACTTGCTGTTTTTTGATTTATTGATGATAGCCATTCTGACAGGTGTAAGGTGATATCTCATTGTGGTTTTGATTTGCATTTCTCTGGAGCATCACTTTTTTTAAAATTAGACAACGTCTTGAATTCTATTTCTGTCTTTGTGAGTGTTAGTGACCATTTTTTTTTATGAGAGCTGTAGATATTAGTAAGCATCATATTCAATTGTTTTCATCTACATCACCAAAAAAGATAATAAGAATAGGCGCCAAGTACTTTTTTATGAACCAATTATATATCACTAGTGCCTTTATTGTACATTACATTAAGTGTATTTGATACTAATGCAAACCTTTAAACCATTATTCATCCACGTAGAGATGTACTTGGGCCACAAAACTTTCTATCTGGGTGATAGAGTCTGCTTTGGACTGAGATTTTAGTTTCCCGAGTTGGACTGGGGCTTGGAATGAATGAGATAAACCACAGTTTATGGTAAGAAGTAAAGAGAAACCAAGTCTGATGAACTCCAGGCAGAGCAGACTGAGAAACAATAGATGGCCCAAAATGAACGTCAAAAGTGACAAGCCAACCTCAGAAATCAGGCTGGTTTAATTAGAATCCAAGGAGAAAAAACACATTTTAAAAAGAATCTCCTGTCTAACTTATGTTCATTTGTACCCATTTAAAATAATGAGCTAAAAAATTCAGCCCCAGGGATGTGGTCTCACAGCTCAAGTTTTCTTCATAAATTCTTTTTGTTTTCTTTTCTAAATGAAGCTAGTTTGAATGTATTCTTATTTTACAACCTTATTTCTTTTATGCATCAATATTTCTAGTTCCTAGTCAAAATTTCATCTAGAGATAGAATCTTTAAGGTCAAACTATTCAACAGAAGGCAGTCTTTGCCAAGAGAGAAACATGCAATATAATTATGTTTTGCGTTCTCGTTTCTGTTAAAATAAAGGTGATACATGAAGGTACAGACTTCTTTAAGAAACAAATAATTATGTGCTATCATATTAGTATTTTTTGATCATCTTCAAAATCGTCACATTGTAACATGCCATTGTTTATAAAACAATGAAATTATATATATAATGTAACAGTATGGGATTAATCAGTGTGCAAAGAAATCACCAACTCAGATTATTAGATTTGAGGACTATAATTTGTAAAGTGGGGTTTTCTGAAGAATAGTGGATTAGATACAAATGGTATAGGAAGGTGTACTACTCCTTTGAAAGTGTGTTTTTTGCTACAGAATGGATTCTATATTATTTAATACAGTTAATTAATTATTTTAATTGTTCTAATGACTGATGTATGCTGTCAAATATTTTACATTTAAAAATTATTTTGAGAATTTTGTGGCCTTGATACAAAAATACATGTGGAGTAAATAAACATTGGTATCAAAGTATACCAAAGTATCAAAGACAAAGGTAAATAAAACAAGATGATAATTTCATATTTGCAACGCATGTTTTCCCAGAGAAAGGTTACAACTAACTCCACAAGGCATACTAATTAGAGGATTTATTAGATGTTAGATCTCATCAAAAGTTTAGTTTTAAGAAATAACACTCAAAGATATGAGATGCATTAAGTTTTATTATTGTTTCATGCCAAATCATTAGAAAAGCCGTTTACCTTGAGCAACTTATTTTTATACCTAATGAAGCTGCTTATACTGACTTAGACCTTGGCTGGCATTGAAAAAGATAAGAATAAATATGTGAATGACCCTTGCTGGTAGGTTTATTATGAAGATTTTTGCTTCCTTGGGGTTATATTACATCTTTAACTTAATACAGTCCACTTAGCGTAAATATTGTTATACTCCATGTGAATGTAATAACGTTATAACTGTATAATTTCATTTATACATTCCCTCCTTTGTACTATTATTTTCATATATTGTATATCTACAAATGTTATAATCTGACAGTCCATATGTATATGTGTGTGTGTGTGTGTGTGTTTAAATAGTTATCTTTCAAAGAAATTAAGAGAAGAAAAAATAATTTTTTTTTAATGTCTACTCCCTTATTTGCCATTTCTGGTTCTCTTCAATTCCTTCTCATAGGCCTGGATTTTCATTTAATTTCATTCTTTTTCAGTCTAAAGAACTTTCTCTACCATTTCTTGAAATTCAAGTTTACTGGTTACAAAGTCTTTCAGCTATTGTTTATCTAAAATTGTCTTTAGTTCCTTCTCATTCGTAAAGGATATTTATGCTAAATATAGAATTTTTGATTGCCAATTTGTTTCTTTCCTTCCTGCCTTCCTGCCTTGCTGCCTTCCATTTTCATGATTCCTCAAATATTTAATATTTTTTATTGTATATTGGACATTTTGGATGATATATTTTAGAGCATCTGAACTATGTTTCATTCTTATAAAAGGATGTTGAATTATTTTTTTCTAGCAAACAGTTAAATTACTGGAATATCTTTTGGATTCTGTCAGGCTTGGTTTATATTTTGTTGGGGTTGGGTCAGTTTTAGTTTTTCTCTTAGTCTTACAGTGTAGCTCATGCTAAAGAATCTGATTATTCTGGCCAAGACATATCCTTTTTTGGGCCTCAACTACATTCCCAAGGTGCTCAGTGAGATATATCCACTCTGGTTGAAGCAGAGTG